GCGCAGGGCCCGGCTGTGGTTGGAGCGCTTGAGCCCCGCTTGCCGAAATCCAGGCTTGTTCTGCCCGTGTTTTTGCAAGAAATGGTAAACAACCGGTGATTTATGCCAGGTGTAGCACTGCTGGAACTGCAGGTAGTGTAAGGTGAAATACCTTTCTTCAGTGGTTCTTGAATTACATCAGAGAATCTCTGTCTATAAAGTAGCCTGTGAAGCATTCCATTACTGTTTTTGAAAGCTGTTGCAATAGCTGAAGAGTATTAAATGTGGGAATTCCCTGCCTGTGCATCTTATGCACAAAGTTTCAGAACTTACGCCAGAAGAAGGACAGGGAGAACAACTCTTGTTGTAAATAACTGGACTGGTAATTGTGCATCCACTTTTATAACCTGAACAGATACTCTAAATTTTCTTCTAATTCAGCATGTTTACAGGAAATGATAAAAGCAAGAAAAAAAAATGGTGTAAAGTTTAAATGGGCTATTTGACTCTGCAAAAGAAGTGTGACTGACTCGAACAGAGCTTTCATTCTTATACGTAGCTCTTTCTTCATATGAAGCATTATTTATTTATCTGTTTAATGCAGCACACTGCTAAGATTGCACAGCTCGCAATTCTACGCTGCCACCTGAATTCAACATCAGCTGTCTTTACTCTGGTCCCTGCAAGATGCCAGCAGCCCTTGCAGAGAACAGCCAGGTTATCTGTGAAGTATGGGCGAACAATCTGGAAGAAGAGATGAGAAAAATTCGAGAGATTGTTCTAAGTTACAGTTACATTGCCATGGTAAATATTTTATACTAGAACTAATTGCCTTAGTCAAGGGATTTTTTTGGGTAGGGGAATAAGTTGATTATTGAGCAAGAAATTATTTCCCCCGTCCCCATTCAAACTGAGCTAGAAGTTAACTGTTGAAAAATCAGAAAGCTGTTCAGCAGAAGCTTTCCAGAAGCTAATACAAGTAGTGTTGAGTATGGATTGAGTGAAAGATGGGGAAGAGAGAGACCACCTTAAAAACCTGGATTCATTTAATATTTACTAATTCAGTATATATTAGTTTATGCAACAGAAGGTCAGGTGTACAACTGGGTTTAAATCTTTAGATTCTCACCAGCATTTTTGTCTTTTGAATGTCTTAATTTGGTTACGGAAGATGTGTGATGGTATAGGACAAACGGCCTGCAAGTGACAGCTAGTCAGCTGGGCTGCCTCCTTTTTAATGGGGCCAGACATTCGTTCTTATTCTGGCTGTAGGTATGACAGTGTGTTCAGAAAGCTTTGTTTAAGACAACCAGACTCTTCCCCCAGGTGGGAGGAATCTCTTCCTGCTCTTACAAGTCTATATCTGCTCAGCAGGAGCCAGTTAGTTACATAAATGACTGTTTTTAGTTACGAAACTGTAAGTTATGCCAACTTTGCTTAGGAAGGCTAAACTTTAAGATACGAAAAGGCCTTAATAACAGCATGGCATAAAAACACATGCCCCTGCAGAGTGTAGCAGTTCAGTATAGAACAGAGTTGTGTAAGTGAATATGATTTTTTGTTGCCATATGTCAATGGGAAATGAGCTTTCTTGCTTCTATTTGATCTAACTGAAAGTGTGCTTATGACCTGTTTTAATGGCTGTGCTGTGAGAGTGGACACAAAAAGATCTTGGGCAAGGGAGAAATTTTGTCAGACACACAGCACTGGTTTCTTAATGAAAGTTTTTGCATATGCTCTAGTCAGTAGAAGTTATGTGACCTAATCTGAGAGTAAAAATAGTATGGAAGTTTGGGTTTCAGCAAAGGTAGCACACAATCACTGGCCAAGTAAAAATTTTTTTTTTTTATCTAATAGATGGTTGCTCTGTTGTTAAGGTCTGTTTTGATTGGCAGTAGTTTTCGTAAATGTAGGTATTGCTGTTCCTCAAAAATGGTGAAGGTTATTGCTGTCTGGACTATCAAATGAAGATGGTCAGAGCGCTAAATTTAACTTGTATTTAGAACATGAAAGAACACTGAATAGATTAAGAAGTCCATTTTAGTAGATTTATGGAAAATGAGAGAGTCCTTTGCGAGAGAGAGACGTTTGGATTATACAATGGTGCATATTGGATGACCTTATAGTGTTTTTGTTGTGGAACAGAACAAAACTGTAAGAAGGGATACCTGTAATAAATAAATGTATGAATGCAATAGTTACCAAATTGTGTAGGGTTCGCTAGTGTTTGACTTGTAGCACTTTAAAAGCTGTATGAATATGGAAAAGGAGGGAACAAAGTGATTTTTACAGAAGCATTCACAGAATGCTGAGACCTGCAAGTGTGGAACTGAATAGACTCCTAATAATTACTCCTAATATTGGTGAAATAAGATTTTTCCCTTCTCTCCTAGGACACTGAGTTTCCTGGAGTTGTTGTAAGGCCAATTGGTGAATTCCGCAGTTCCATAGACTATCAATATCAGCTCCTTCGGTGTAATGTTGACCTTCTGAAAATTATCCAGCTGGGCCTGACTTTCACAAATGAAAAAGGAGAATATCCTTCTGGCATCAACACCTGGCAGTTTAACTTTAAATTCAACCTTACGTGAGTCTTTTGGCCTAGAGAATAATCGCGTATTCTCTTGTGCTGAAGGGATGCTTTCCTTTGGCAAATGCGGGTGTCTGTATAATTCATCATTGCTCTCTGGTTCTGAGCAATAAAAATTCAGATTCTAACACAGATTATGTGGGAACCTATTTTGGGATGACAGGATTTTGCAATATTTCCGGAAGTCAAAGCCATGCTAAAAGCCTATCCGTAATACCCTTTCTCTTGATAAATAGCCTATCCCCAGTAATTTTATGTGCCTTAAACTTTTTTTTCTGGAACAATGTTACCATCTGAATCTTTAGAATTTTTTTTATATATGTATAAAAATCCATCTCTTTCTGCTAAAACTAAGTGGAGGTACTGTTTTCAGCAAAAAAAGGAAAATACGTCATTACAGATCCATGCTAAAATATAAACTGGGGTCTAAAAAAATGTTGGTGTAATTGTCACACCTGTTCAGGAGAATGAATCATGTTAAATGGAGTGTGGCAGTTGTTCTTGTCTCCTCCATACTGCAATATCCTGGGTTACAGTTGAAACAAGCTTCAGTATCCCTTCCCCTGTAATTGTAATGACAAACCGAGCATAAGTACCACTACAGATGCCTGGAAATAGAGAGAGGGTTTATCTGGCAAAAACATGCATTTGTAGGAAATCTGTCAGTATCTTTATGGAACTGTCATTGGAAAACATTAGAAAAAATTCATAGCTAGTATGTGCAGATCATACAGTTCTTGAACCCAAAAGTTGCAATATTTACTTCCACAAATTTGTGAGCCTTTTAAAAGTATTGAAATCAGTCTGAAGTGGTTTTCTTAGTATGATCACTTCATTTGACTCAATTATCATATTTGGCATGAATTTTGCTCTGTGTGTTGTCATGTCCTTCCCTCCCTTCTCACCCTCAAATGAAACAAACTATGACAGAAATCAGGTTCCTGCTCAGCTTTCCACCAAGCATATCGTCACACATCCATGTCCTATTCCTTAGTCAAGTATTATGCAATTTTGTTTACTCCCAGAGATGGAACTGGAGATGATGATATGGTGGTGGTATGTGCTGTGAAGTGAAAAAGAAAAATGTAGACAGGAATGATGCTCAGTGCTTTAGAGTTGCATGTCTTCCTATTTGGGAGAACTCCCCTTTTTGCTGTGCTCTCATGTGTGGTGCTTGCATTCCCCTTGCAGAAGTGATGCTTTTCAAAATGTCATTCAGGTCTATGGAGATGGAATCTTTGGAATTTGCACTAGCCACAGAATTATTAACTAGCAGAATAGCTTGTTATGGATGTAACGGCTGCAGTAGTGGTATTAAAACTGATTCAGTTTGAATTTTCTAGAGATACAAATGTGGAACCCAGAGATAGCCTGGTCACTCAATTTTTTGAAATACAGTGTGGGGAGAATTTTTCTAAAATGAGCCTGACTTGGTAGCACTTTGAGCGCAAAGCTGATTTTCTCCTTCAGGGAGGACATGTACTCTCAGGATTCCATAGACCTCCTTGCCAGCTCTGGGCTGCAGTTCCAGAAGCATGAAGAAGAAGGGATCGATACCCTGCATTTTGCGGAGTTGCTTATGACATCTGGGGTTGTCCTTAGTGACAGTGTGAAATGGCTGTCCTTCCACAGGTAGGTCTGAGATCGTCACTGATGCTGTGAAGTGAGAAATCTCTTTTTCCTTGAAATACTGATGCTTTTGTCCATGGAAAATAACACAGATTTTAAGGAGAAGAATTAGCAGCTCTTAAAATAAGTTTAAAGATACAAAGGCTAAGCTTAAGAAGTAAGGACACTTGGCGCTTCATTTTGTACTAGCACTTACTGTGGTCTGAATTTTGTGTATGCGTTGCTTGCAAATCCTTTCGCTGTTATAATCTTCCTCTATCAAAGAAATTACTAAAAAGTTGAATTGAGATTTCTACACTTAGTAACTTGTGTGCATTTTAAAGTAAGGTTTTTGTTTCTTCCTTATAATGTTGGTGGTGTTCTCAACATCCATCTTGTGTTTACCTAGAGGAAGAAATCTGTGTAGTCAAGATGTCTGTCTTGTAGCATTTCAAGCAACTTGATTACAAAGCCTCTGGTCCTTGATATCATCACAAGTGGAAGGACCTGAGGCAGGAGGAGGAGGTGGTGGCAACAGATACGTACCGGGTTTCCTGCTTTTCTGTATTGCCCATAGCTACAGAAACTTGCTGTGCTGGGAAGAAAAGTATGTTCTTCCCAGCGGCTTAGCTGGAGGCACCCAGGGAGTGTTCAAAAGTCCTACACTGACATCAGGATGAATTCTGTCTCTGATCGAGAGTGGTTTTATGAATGTCAGAAAATGTTAAGGTTTGAAAGCTACAGCATGTAAAACTCTTGTGGAAAATGAGATATTGGTACCAATGAAGTATAGGTGTTGGCTGCTTATGTGGTTTCTGTATGGTTTTATTTTCAGTGGTTATGACTTTGGCTACATGGTGAAGTTGTTGACAGATTCCAGGTTACCAGAAGAAGAACATGAATTTTTCCATATCTTGAACCTTTTCTTCCCATCTATCTATGATGTAAAATACTTAATGAAGAGCTGCAAAAACCTCAAGGTACTTTTATCTCCCCAGCAAGCAATGGATGGGTACCAACACTGTAAATGTACAGTAAGCCAAGTGACAGAACTGCTGCATATATCAACTCTTAAAATTGGAATGTGTATAGAAGCTGGTAGTCACTCATAAGCACCTATGACTAAGTTTGTATCTAATAGATACTGCCTCTCTGGTTTCAGACTTATCAATATGTATATTATACAGGGGATGTTCCCATCACCTTCCGGTTTGTGTATCAGTGATTTCAGAGGCTAATTATAATTCAGCATGCTTATCTTCCCTATGCAAGGTGGGGTGTTTCTTCGTACATGAACTACTACATGACTTGATTAACTGGTAGACACTCAGAGGGTTAAAAGTAATTTATCTACTGAATCACAGTCTTGTTTGAGGAAAGGGAGGGAAAGGTCCAGCATTTGGAACCTATGAATATACCCACAGTCATCTCAAGTATCTGCAGCAGGAAAGCAAGGTACCTAAATTTGAGTATTTATGTGATCTTGAGCAGTATTCACCACTATGTTTCACTCACAGCTGGTGTGGGTGTACTGCTGGAATTTGAATTGATTTATCGTAGCCTGTGTTTGCCCTCATGTTTTGGAGAAGCGCGGCAGTTTTGGTAAAAGATGGATCTTCCAAAATAAAATCTGTTCTCATTGCAGGGTGGCCTTCAAGAAGTGGCAGATCAGCTGGATTTGCAGCGAATTGGACGACAACACCAGGCGGGATCGGACTCTCTTCTCACGGGAATGGCATTCTTCAGAATGAAAGAGGTACTGCAGTATTATTCTTTATGGTTCTTTCTCCAGTTCCCATCCATAAATGTCAACATGCACAATGTGTTTTTTGGGGGTTTTTTTGAGCCTTGTGGCCATCACACTTCAAACTCAATAATAGAAATTGTTGATATGGGCACAGACTTCTGTTTACTCTTCTTTCATGTGCTTATTTTAATTTGCATGCTGCATCGTAGAAGTGGCTGACTTCAAATGAGTTGTTCAATTAACATTGAGTGCTTTCTGATTTAGAGGCACAGTTATACAGTACCTGTTTCTTCCCTTTTTTTTTATCTGCAGTTGTTTTTTGAGGATACAATTGATGATGCAAAGTATTGTGGGCGCCTGTATGGCCTTGGCACAGGAGTGGCTCAGAAACAAAATGAAGATGTGGACTCAGCCCAAGAGAAAATGAGCATTTTGGCTATTATCAACAACATGCAGCCGTGATAAGCGGCACTCCTCAGCAGAACATGGTTACCATATTGGCAGCTGCTGTCCTCAACCATTTTCCCTAATAGTATCTCAAACAAAAGGCATCTACAGTATACAGCCTGCGGAAGGCCTGCAGTTTTGCTGAAGAACTGCATCTTCATTTGAAACCCAGAAGAGTGTTGACTGAATTCCTAATGCCAGCATTTGTGGTTTGCCATCTTTTTAATACCAAGGGCAAAAGACAGAACCTACTGTGTATACCTCTGTTTTTTTCCTCTTTATACTGAACAGAATCTGCAAGGAAGATGTAACGGTAGAATATTCAGTAGAGCTAAGGGTCTGGAAATCCAGTGAAAATGGACACAGACATGCACACAAACTTGAAAATTGTGCTTTATAAAGCTTATTTTAAAACTTACTTCTGCATGTTGTGAGGGTGACTGCTTCACCTCATGTTTTGCTTATTTTATCTTTGTGTAGTCTGTGGAAATTGCTCCCTTTGATCACTGCAGAGGCTTGGGAATGGATGACATTAAAAATGATCCTTGCAGCTAAAAATACTCAAGAGATTTGCTTTAACAACATTGGGAAAGGATAGGAGCTGGAGCTGACTTGATCGGCTCTCCATAGTTTCTAATTCTGTGTGGTGCAGGTTTGACCCATACGGAGGCTCAGCTTAGTTCTTATGGGTATTAATAAACGGTTCTGGAAATCTGTTGAGGCCTGTAAGTTCACCTTTGACCAGGGATTAGACCAATACTCTGACTTCAGTTTTCTTCAACTTAATATACATTCTTATTAAATTATTCTTAGCATTTTATTCTTCTCCTTGCAACACAAGTAGTTCAGCAGATGGATAAATATTTGTTCCACTTCTTCCCCCTTGCTTCTCCAGCCCCTAATTTTACTGTATGCTTAACAACAGACAAAACAGTTATTTCTTCATTACAAACATCTGAAAAGTAGTTAGAGGATGGAACAACTAACTTGGGATTCTGACTTTTTAAAAAATGAGCTATTCTATGGTATCTTTTTTTCCCCAACAGCTCTAGAATAACATTTCTCTAAAAAAAAAGAAAAACAAAAACCCTTTTGAAAATGGCAAACTTAAAATTTTAAGACTTTGTCTTGCATTTTAAACAGGCTTAAACAATTCATTATTAGGAACTGAGGTTTAGAGCTGGTATTTAAAATGCTTGTAAATACTACTTGTTTTTAATTTTTGTAAAATAAATTTTTTTAAACCAGGCCTTGTTTTGGATTTTGCATAAAGCACTGAAATTCCCAAAGTTCAGGCTTTGGAATCTGAATTTGAGTGATACATGCTGAAATATGCTCAGTTTTCTTCTTTTGCCATTTATGATGTGCTACTGGGGTAGTTTGTAGTAAAATCTGCTTTTGAGCTTCTTGTACAGTAGCTGATGAAAGTTGAGCTTAAGATTTCTTTCGGGGACACTTATTCTCTTTCTGCTTGTCTCAGCACAGCTAGCAGTATTGTGGAGTATTCTTTCAGCGCAGCATAGCCACTTAAAGTGACAAATCCATTTTGCTCATCTGTCCTGTGTGAAGTTTTCCTGCTCCATCTAAACTGTAGCCGTTCTTGTGAAGTGTACGAGGGCTGTTTGGTTAAGCACTAGCTCCCCCTCCTGGTTTTCAAGTACCTTGTACAGAATTTAGCAAGTTGGGAGTTAGTGGCAACAGTTTACCAGATTAACGCATCTACAAAGGGATCTTCTTTTAGTATAAGCCCCTGGCTTTTGCCTACTGCTCTTCACGTTGTTCTGAGGCTTTACTTGGCTTGGACCAGGAAATGTATCAATCAGTCAGGACCAAGTCTGCATTTTGGCTGGAAGAATCTGGAACAGGTCTTGATCTAAAAAATCCATCCCTACTTTTTTTCTTAAGCTACAATTGTTACTGTATTTATAAGCTTTCTAAATTCATGACTCCCCATCCTACCATGAGCTTTATTACTGTATTTAAAAACTTGCTTGTAGAAATTACTAAGAAGATAGATGCAACATTCACCAAGGCTTGTGCAGTCTTGTTTTTTTCTTAGGAAGAGTGAGTTTTTCAAACAAGACGGGCAAAACCTTAAGCAAGCTGTAAGACCAGTCAAAATGTTGCACATTCAAGACTCCAGAATCTAGGATTGTTTTTGGCACTTCTAGATCAGCAACTTTTCTAGAGAACTTGATAGTACCTCAAATTTACCATCACTGTAGCAAAAAGCAGTTTGTTCAGCCACAAATGTTGCCAGAACCAGGGCCTTTTCTTGATCTGGAGAAATCCTTTATCTCTTGCTAGTCATGTTGGAAAGAAATATAAAAGATCTTGCCCCCCCTTTTACGTTGTACAGGTGGCTTCACCATGCAAAGCTAAGTCATAGCACACCCTTGTTTTATCTACCGAGTTTGACTGATGTAGTAATGTTTAACAAAATTGCCCTTGATTGATACCGATATCTATCTGTCAAATTAAATGCCAATTCATGGTGGTAGAAGACTTTATTTTAAAGGAGGGAAAATAAACTCACAACACTTGTAGCAACAATACTGGCTTAAGGGTCAGTTTGCTTACAGAAACCATTGTTTTTCCTGAGGGCAGCTACTTTTCCTCCTCTGCTGAAAGACCGATACAGCTGCTCAAAACTGTTTCTCTTACTTGTAAATAGCAAGAGCTTTCACTAGCATAACTTCCAACAAATAAAAAAAACCTATACAAAAATCCTGTATACAGTTCAAGCCCACAACCTACTGCTTTTCAATTTTCTAACAAATCTCCTTAAGTAGTATTAGTCTGGTATATACACGTACATAAACGTGATTTTTTTGTAGTTTCATCCAAAATAACCACAGCCATCAAAACAAGCCTTCACTTGAAGAAAGAACAGCCTTGATGGTACGTAGCTGTAGGCAGCTCAAGGGAAGTGGCTTGGTCTCAAAACGTCATGTGAAGAACCTTCTGCCAGCCTTTTTGTAAGTACTAGCACTGCCGTGTTTCTGAAGGAGGTCCAGTGCCTGTTCATGTAGTTCGGGAGGGCACTGGGATCCAACATGAAGGAGCACAAGGCAGCACTCCAGCACGTCGGGGAACGGGAAGACCTGCAAAAAAAGGAACACAAGGTGATGTCTATTCTTTCAATTACAGTTGTTCAACTACAACATATTCAGGCAGTCAGCTCTGAAGCCAACAGACACTGCTTTATAGTATCTTTGGAACAGATAGTCATGAGTCAAATGCATTTTTCCCTCTTCTTCCAGTGCATTAGCTCATGTTTAACCAGGTTTGCCCCCTCTTGATTACCTTTAGTTGTATTGTAAACTAGAGAACAGAGGGCGTAAGACAGCCTAGGAAATGTTGTTTTCTAACATGTGATGTGTAGTTCCTACAGCTCCTAATCTATAAAGGCCATTTTATACTTCAAATTTCTCACTTCACTGTTTATCAAAACTGGTTTGCTTACGTAATTTTAAGTAGCAAGGGATTACTTTTAAAATGCATGGCAGAGATTCATACAGAATATCCCACTAAGTTCTCCCATGCAAGAGCTTTACCTACGCTTTCCAACTGCCTGGAGAAAGTTAAGCTTGAAAGAAAAATATCACCCTGATGCCATGTGTCAATTCTCTCTCAAAATTGCCATAAGATCACTAAGAAAGTCACTGTTCCTCACGTTCTGTATGAAAGGGATCCTATGATGAGGCTACCCTTACAAAAAGACTGTTTCTTCAGAACCGCAGTGCCTTCCTGAAAACTTACCTTTAAATTGTCTGGAAACTCTGCTAGTTTCTGCTTTGCTTTTAGAAGCTGCTTCGTTAGCTCAGGGAGTGTAATTGGTTCCTTTACTTCATCTTTACTGTCAAGAAAAGAGCAGGTGTCATGAGTAACTCTCTTGCTTAAATGAGTGTATAGCCTCCCTCCTATACCAGGAGCACAGGGGAGCTGGACAAGAGTTACATGCTTTAACTCATTCTTGCCAAAATCCCAAATAATTCTTCAGCAAAGAGACAGACCTCTTAGATCATGCTTGTCCTTTTCATTAGCCTCCCTTTTTCAAGCTGCCCTGTTCATTTACCATACCACCACACACTGTGCATCAGGAAGTTATTCAGCCCTAGTAAGTAGTTTAGACTGAGGGAACTGCAAGACTTTTGAGCTGTATGTTGAAGTGTCCTTGGGTGACAAGCTTGAGATTAGAGGCAGTCTGAGCTAAACAAGAAATGTGCTGCACAAACACAAAAAAAGCAATGCTTTTCAATCCATTTGTTCATGTTCTGAAGCTTACCAATTCATCTGGTTGCTGTCAGAGCATGGTTTGCCTGATTCGGTCTCTGAACTCTGCTGCAGGTTGCTTTCCTGGGTGCTTCCATTTGTGTTTTCCTGGAGATTGTTCCTCTGCTGCTGATGCTGGCGAATCATATCTGCTAAAATCTGCTGGACCTCAACTATGTCTCTCTGAGTGTTCTGTAAAGCAGCAATTTCTTCTGAAAGAAGCACTTTGCAGCCATTCAGTTTTGACTGTCTGTCTACCAAATCAACGGAGCTAGTTCTTGAGTCACTTTCTTTCTCACACCTACAAACTTCAGTTGCATTGCAGAGGTTTTCATCCATCTCAACTGCAGTTTCATCAGGAGTTTCTTCAGAGGAGGACTGACCTGAAACGCAGCTCTTCTCAAGAGCTGTCTGCTCACTGGGACACAGCACAGAATCCAAAACAGCCTTCTGCAAGGCAAGGGAGCCTTTGGCTGGGTTCCACCACAGGTCATACAGCAGTCCATAAGCCACAAAGCCCTCTAAACTTCTGCAAGCGTCCATGCTCTGAGAACTTGTGCTGTCCAGTTTGTGTCTCAGGTTATCACAGCCTAATAATGAAAAAAACGATTACAAATAGTTTATAGAGATTTCAACAGAAAAAGACCAGATCCGGTAAATGAATGGCTATCCTGGAGACCCAAACCAGACATTTACTCGGATGCTGGCAGAGTGTGCAGGAAGCAGAAAAGCAAAGGCAGACATCTTTGGCATCTTTTTAAACACAGTACTTTCTTTTAGTTAGCATGAGTCTGCATATTCTCATCATCTACAGCAAACGTCCCTGGTCCTAAGTGGCACATCACTCACTCACATGGTCAAGAGCTGCAAAATAAATGCACTGCGTACTCTGCAGAGAATGAAGGGAAGGGCCAGTTGGAGTGATTTGTAACTGAGATGAACCCAGCTTTCCAATGTTCCCATCTTCCTTACACAACAGAATTTGCTCAGTTTCCAACATCACCACACCAGTCAACACTGCTGAGCTTCCTTCCACAGTCATGAATTTTGATTGCCCCGCAGCCCTTGCACTAGCCCAATTCCACAGGTTTCCATACGTATGGGTATGTCTTGCTCCTTCCAAACTTTATTACGCTTAGTAATATTAATTTACTTAATAATATTAATAATCTTTTACTTTTATTTATTTTATTTATTTTATTTAT